TCACTTTTTTTGTGGTATTTTTATGCACAGATACAAATAATCATGACAAACTTTTTAACAAAGACTATAATGATGAATAAGACATCACAAATCAGCAAAAGTCTAGGCGTTTCCGGTGACGATGAAGAGGTGGATGAGGAACAGCTCGAAAAATCCAAAAAAGAAGCCATGTTAGAAGACAAGAGAATTGCAGAAAGAAGGTATCATAAATTATCAAAACATTAGCCTGTTAAAAACATGAAGAAATGAGACAATCGTAATGTTTCCTGTGGGTTTTATGTGCCCTAAATTGCAGTCAAGCTGTTAAAATTGTTACATAGTCAATACTTTTTTTCTGAAATAGATTGAAACGTGATGCATGCATACTGTTCATTTACTTGTATAGTAATAGTCTGTGGAAGATACATGGTAAATCAAATACAATGGCTAAAAGTAGTTTAAAATCTGTTGGGTACTATGCACTGATAAATATATACATCATAAAATGTTGAGATTGGTATATGGACTGTTAAATTAAATTTTATAAACAATATACACTAAGTTAGGTGGCTGTGTTTAAGGCCACATTGTAAATATGCTTTGTTTAAAAGAAAAGAACCCCTAGTACTAACAAAATGAAATGTGTGTTAAGGTGAGAGAAGAATCTAGTATGTATTAATATATCATGATTTTTGGGAAAAAACAACATAATTTTTTACACAGTTTGACTTTCAACTTGTTCTGGGAATTTTTTACAAATTTGCATTGTTCGAATGTAACATTTAAAATGTTTAACATCATACTGTAAAATACTGAAGGAATGATTCAGTGAAAATAAAATCCAGCAAATATACTTTTTTTTCTATATTTTACATTAAACTCGTTAAAAATCAGTGAAAATAAATTCCATACAAAACACCCAAAAAATCTTTTCAGCGAAAATTTATTCCAGCGAAAATAAAGTATTTCACAGTATATGTCTATTTTGAATAATCATGTAGGAAGTAATATGATAGCACTTTGTAGACTAACTAGTTAAAGTCTATCAAATAAACAAAAACTTACAAAATAAATATTTTTTTATTTGGTTTCAGAGAACAACACGCTTTAAAGCATGCTGCAAAGAAAGCTGATCGGGCAAAGAAGCGGAATGAAATTCGTGAGAAGTACGGCCTGAAAAATAAAGACTATGATGATGCTATTATATCATCACATCAAAAAACTGCATCATCTGGTTCCGTTGCATCAAAAGGAAGTACTTCTTCTGCAAATCAAAGTAAACAAAACAAAGATTGCTCTGTAATGTAAAAAACAAAGTAACAACACCTCATACCACTAGAGGGGGCTGTGTTAGTCTAGTATTTAAATGTAGTGCTGTATATGTAATTGAAAGACGAATTTTGAATCAGAACCATGAAGCTTAGTAACAAACTGTTTTTTTTCCTGACCTGAATCCAAATATTTTCAGACACAAAATGATTCTACTAATCCTATGCAGATGTAATGGTGCTTCTAATAAGATACATGTAATCAACATAAAAATTAAATTAATACATTATTATTATTTACAATGTCATATATATTTTACTGTTCTGTTATTTGCATGTATTATAAAATAAAAATAATTTATATTGTATTTTAGAATTTCTCTTCTTTTGTGAATTTTGTAAGTACCGATACACCAAACTCGTCTTGTCAAACAGGATGCGGCAAGACGACCACCGTCCTTTAACATATCTTATTGTTTGTTTTTGTCAAAAGCAAAAACCCTTCCCTTTTTTTTTGTAATGCTGACAAATTGAAAGACACGCTGTTAAAGATATATCAAGAAACAGGAAAATTAATCAAAGAAAGCTTAAAAAAAACTTTATTGGAGACATGAAAAACAATTAAGGAATACTGTTTGTATTACTATATTAGAAGCGCATCTTCATTGCACATAAAGCATTGTGTTTATTGCATACAAAATATGTCTTGAAATATGTCTTATTTTGACCATAGGTTGTCTTTGACCTTTATTTTTACAGCAGGCATATGTGCTTCTAATAGTGAAAATAATCAGGGTGGTTCCAGGTAGCTATGACTTAATAATTATAAATATTTAATGAAATGATGACCATATATGACTTGATATTTTGGTTATATCTTGTCAGACCACAAAATAATAGCACCAGTTGCATGTCCCCATCTGCAACAGTACTTAGTACATTGCAGTTAGGCATATAAAGAAACACGCATGAAACTAATACATGTAGCAGGTAATTAATATGCACGAAGTTATCAAATCGGTGGATCTGTGGCACCTATGTACCTAGTTTTATTAACATTTGATCAGTGGTATGCAAGATACATGTACCTTTGGAGCACCTATGAATTAGTTAATTTATGCAAAGTAGAAAGCTCACAATTTTACCCTAAACTGAACAAGTATTTGGCTATAGTTTCATTGACTCTGATGTGTGGTTGAGATATTGGTATAAAGATAAATATTGGCTAATTTATATGCAAATCAGGCAATTAATATGCATGGATTTCAAGTAGAATTTGATCAGGTCAGATTTTTGTCCTAGTGTGTCTATTTACCAAATTTCATTGAAATCTGTTTAATGGTATATGTCAATTTCCAGAGTTAAAAAGGTAGAAGCCTACTCATGATTTGAAATGCCCAGAATTTATTCATTTTGTACTTCTGGGCAATAGAAGAATATTGACTTAAAACAAGCAGCCTGTCGGCTGAGATAGCTCCGCTGTTAGCAATGCACATTTCAATTAAAGAACTGAAGATATCATTAAAAAATGAACAATATGTATAGTATCAAAGCAATCAGACTTGATGTTTTCAACAGGAATTTGAAAATATCACTTTTCACCAAAAATGACAAAAATATTCATCAAAATTAGATAATTAAAGATATCATCACGAAATGAACAAATCTGAGAGTTCCACATGTAGTACTATATATGTAATATCAAAGCAGTCAGACTTGCTTTTTTTTAAAAAAAGAAGTCGAAAGTATCACTTTTTACCAAAAATGATAAAAATATTCACTAAAATTAGAAACTTACTGAAGATATCACGAAAGAAACAAATCTTGAAGAGGTCCACATGTAGTACCTATATATGTAATATCAAAGCAATTGGACTTGCGGTTTTTAACAAGTCGAAAATATCACTTTTTACCAAAAATGACAAAATATTCATCAAAATTAGAGAATTGAAGAGATCATCATGATATGAACAAATCTAAGAGAGGCCTACCCAACTATCAAAGTATTCAGGCTTGTAGTTTTCAAGAAGATGTCGAAAAAGAAAGACATGGACGCCGCCGGACAATCACACATATGATAAGCTCCGCTCGACAAAGTCGACAGCAGAGCTAAAAACTTAGGGGTCACCAGGTTACTAGTAATTTTCGAGAAAATCATGTTTGTATTTTTAGTTGATAGCAGCCATTTTGGCAGTATTATAGGGATTTTATCATAGGTTCCTATGGCAGAGATATTATGCCATATCAAACTGTAGACTGGGTTGTAAAAAATGTAATTTTTGTTCAACATTGCGTACTATGGAATTGTTCAAAAAATACGTCAATGTAACACACAAAAGAATGCTATTTTATGTCGCCATGGGCCAATAGCTCCACGATTTTACATAATAAACCGATGGACATTGTCATGCGATATATGACCAACTTCCTCAAAATTACGCGGGACGCTCGTCACCTGCGCATACGCGACGATTACAACACTCGCTCATGGGTAGACGCTAGTTTGTAAACAATGACACGCTGACAATGACGTATGCACAGGTGACGACTCCCCCGCTTTAATTTTCTGTTGCAAATTGTACTAGTACTTGAATAGTATAATGCCAGAATTATGTGACTGGGTGACGTAATTTGAAAACATTCGTTTTCTGTAAACAAGTCTTCACTACTCCATGCACAGTCACTTGTTACCCATAACAAGTCTTTTATTAACAATCGGAGGTCCGTACTACACATAAAAATAGTCTATTTTTATGTGTAGTGGAGGAGGTAACAAGTGACTGTGCTCCATGCCCATACATTCTGCCTGCTCTACATATTTGAGATGTTCGCTGTTTCTGCGCAATTTTAAAACAAATAAACAGTTTTTTATTCGCTCAACTTTCGAAAGTAAAAGGAAACCCCATTCTCGCCCGCCAGAGTATTTTTTCCGCCCACTCAAAAAACCATCAATTGCCGAAAGAGGTTTGCAACGATGGGAAACCCCGAACTCCGCACAGTTCGATACGCGTTACTTATCATCACTGCACAAAGCAGATTTGCATAGAACTCATTTGCATATTCGAATATGTTCGAACCACAACCCCTTGGCGGTTAACAAAGTTATGCGAAAGGTTACTTTAATCACTGTGGGTCCCTTTCATGCAATGAAATTAAATAACACCATGGAGGCTTGACTTGAGGGTTATATTGTCTTTAATGCGCACCATCTATCACATAACCATGCGTTACATGCGATATGACACGATACGATTAACTGAAAGATACACAAAGAAATCAATAAATACAGTACTCAAATATTCTCAAAATACAAACATATACATGTACAAGTCACACAAGAAAATT